TGGGTCTGAGTCAAGCCGAAGTCCCACAGCCCTGACCAGGGAGATAGATAAGTGTGTGAACGCAGAGGCAGCCTGGGTCTTTTTCCTCCACCCCCTCTCCGTGGATCGGGGGATGAGCGCCAAACGCAGGCCAGCCATGTGGGAGAATGTTTCTCAGGAAAGGAAGAGGTCTGGATACACCAATGGCAGGGCCCCCCTGCCCGCACCCCCCTGCCCCAGCCCCAGTCAGAACTTAGTTAAACAATTTACATTTCCTCACCTCTTACCCAGGTGATTCTCACAGAGCCAGTGCCTGAGCTTCATCTTCTAGCCTGCTCAGCCCAAGGGGAACAGGAAATGGTGCTGGGCTAGGCCCTGCATCTCAGGCTGCTCTGGTTCTAAGAGCACATCACACACAGAAGGAGAAGAGGCAGAAAGCGGGGTGACAGCTGGAGGAACTCAAGTATGGGTGGACGGGCCCATGCAGCCCACAGCGGCACTCGGGCCACGCCGGCTTTCTGTCTCCACAGGTGCGGTGCAGGGCTGCTCAACAACCCGGCAGCCTCAATCTGCACGCAGGAGACGGTTCGTGCAACTGGAGCAGCTGGCCAAGCGTCCTCAGGGCAGATGCCCCGCTGGGTGAGGCTCCACACGAGACCACAGGCTCTCGCTTGGGCGACCAAAGGCCACAGCCCCCAGGGCAGTCAGATGCAGCCAGCCACCAGCACGCAAGGTGGCTGGGAGGAGCGGACAGTACATCGGTACCAGGGCGAGTCCCCGTTCTCTCCAGGGGGTGTATGAGTTTTGCCAACTTAAGACGGGGCAGAAATGGCTTGGCTGGCAGAATTCTTGGCATCTCCCCTCTTGGAGCCTTGATTTCCTCCAGATGGGGGCAGGCGGCCCCCTTAGGTGTTCACAGATGTGTGTATTTACACTTCCCTTCCTTCTCGTCTGCCTTTCCAGTAACTTCAAGGGGCTTTCCTCTGGTACTTATCTCCAATCATCTCTCACAGCTTTCCAGACTCCAGCCTTGCACTGGTCCAGCAGCCGGGCAGCCAGGCCTTGCACTGGCCTAGCAGGACCCAGCCGGGCCTCGCGCTGGTCCAGTCAGATGGGCAGCTGTGAGAGTGGGAAACAGGCACTGGGCTTCCCATGGCCCCAGACTGACTGTGTGTTCTCCAACTCCAGTTCCACATACATCAAAGCTGAGCAGAAACATAGGCACAGCACAGAGTACTATAGCCTCTTTTAGGATTCTAGAGTCTTCCACTTCCCTTTGGCTTTTACTTCTTCCCCCCTCTTCTCCCAGTTGTATTTGTTTCATTGCTTCTCATCATTGAATACAGTGTGTGTGTGTGTGTGTGTGTGGTGTGTGTGTGTGTGGTGTGTGTGTGGTGTGTGTGTGTGTGTGGTGTGTGTGTGGTGTGTGTGTGGTGTGTGTGTGTGTGGTGTGTGTGTGTGTGGTGTGTGTGTGTGGTGTGTGTGTGGTGTGTGTGGTG